TATATATATATATATAGATATATAGATATAGATATAGATATATATAAACACACATCTGTTCCTGCTGTCAGAAAAAAAAGCTGAAAATGAGAAAAAAATGTCTGGATGATTATTGTATATCTTTAATTCAAAGTGCTAGTGTTCAGAATCTGTACCATACAGTAATGATGTGTACAGATATATCATATATCTGTATATATCTTTGTATTCACTGGTAAATGTAAATGTATTTTTAAGTTTAGAAGGCATGTAGTCTTATTCCTTAACTAGTTAATGCTTTTGGAGGTGTATATTTTTAATTTTTTTAAATTAATGTGTATTTTGTGTGGAAGTATAGCAACTGATTGTGGTTTTTCTTTTTCTTTTAAGGGGCAGAATCATGTTTCATGTCCACCTGCAAATCATGATCCAAGTATGTATCTCATTGACAAAAGCCACCAAATATCTGCAAGCTGTAAAAGCATTCTAAGGAAGCTGTGCTCAATACAAGCATGAGTTACTCTTGTTCACAAGTCTTCACATACTACTACGTTTTGGAATTCATATTTGTTATTTGAATTGAAGACTATATTCACTTCTCTTTTCCCCTTTTTCCTATGAAGCGAGTGAAGCTCTCAGTTATTTAGTGGCACTTTCACATTTTGATCAAGATGAAAAAATATATTTTTTTTACATAATTTCTTTCGTAACCAATTTGTTTTTGTAATAGTCAGTTTGCAATGATGGATGGATCTTGGGGGAGGGGAGTGTCTTGCAGCTTACCAGCTGTATCGCTGCGTCGCTTGTTGGAGATTTTGGGTATCAATGGTTGAAGATAAATGGACTAAGAGATTTCATATTTTGAATTCATTGATCATTAAGTTTAGATATACATTGAAATGGCAAAGGGGAGGAAAAATCTATTTGGCATGAGCTAAAGTTATGCTGCATTTTTAGAAGTTAGTGAATTTTAATGGGTTTTTTTTGTTGCCACCTGATGAAATTTTTTTGTTGCAAAGAGAATAATGTTATTAAATCTTATGTTTAATTTAGAATAGATCCTAAAGATAGATTCTTCTTGCATTAATATTTTGGTTATGTCTATTTTGTTTTTAGTGGTGGTTTTAGAACGATTAGGTCCTTCTGCATGGCCTTGTGAATTGGACTCTCATGGCAATGACCTTGATTTGAGTATAGTGCATGAAAATTGTCAGTCTAATTACAGACCAAATAGTGAAAGAAAAGGAAAATCTAATATGAAGCATAAAAATGTGAAAACAATGCTGCCGCAACTAACTGTGGATTGTACAAGCACTCCAAAGAAAAAGAAATCAGATAGTCTTATGTGCAATGTGCCAGAAAAACAAAGAGTCAATTGTAGAATTAATGTTGGAAAAGGAATTGAAAAAGAAGATAGTATAAAGGGCAAAAGAAGAAGAACAGAAACCAACAGGAAACAGAAAGAAGGTCCTATGGCTGTTGGTGCAAGTAATGTAAGAACTAATATTCTAGCTGATGGATGCTTCTTGATACTAATTTTTTCACTCATTCCATTTAAATGTTCTTTTTTGTGCAGAAAGTTGATGAAGATCCTTTGGAAGGACCTAGTTGGCTATATAAAGATGTAAGTGGAAAATAATGTAGGTATTTCTGCCTGGGTTATTGTTAAGTTCGGAATGTGAGCAAGCAGATGGAATGCAAATGTCATAACCTATCTCTTCATTTGGCCTACAAACATTTTGTTTCCACTCTGAGGGGCTTTCTGTACTGTGTAGGACGTTAAAGGGAGGAGAACATTCACTGACAATTTTTGTTGTTGTCATAGAGGAACTGTCTTTGTTTATTTTCATTGATGTCAGTGGAGGGAAAACTTTTTGATGATATATGATGTATGGAGTATTGCATTGCATGAGGCCTGCTCTTCAAATCACTGTCACTGGTTTGGTAAAGCCACACTTTGAAGGCTGATTTGCTGCTTATCTGATGTTAATGGGGAGTGCCTTGTCAGGTGGCACTCTGGCATCATGTAGCGGCGTAGCTGACTTGAAAAAATACAAGTTATTCAGTAAGACATCCATTGTCATCTGAGTGGCTTTGAAATATTTTCAGTGACATCCTGTAGGAACTCTTAATTTCTAGTAATAAGTAACGTGCTGTTATTTAGTTAGGTTGTCTCCTTTTGTGATTAATAATTTTCAGTTATTTTACTTGGACATTTTTAGAGAGGACCTACTTCCTTTCACAAGTTAAATGCGTAAATATTTCTTCCATAATTAAATAAAAACAAGTGGTTCTATTTACTCTGAATCTGCTTTAAGTTGGCCTTTTATTAGTACATGGGAAAAATAGAACATCACAAAAAACACAGACATGCGGACACACTTTACATAAAGTCACTTTGACTGCCTGACCTCTTAATTCTTTACGGTCCTCCCCAGAACCCTTCAACTCTCCATCAAAATTGGGGACAAAGCTTGAAGGTGCTACTATAGAAGGCACTAATGTTGCCGGGTACAACTGCAGGCTAGGCTTACCAATTTTAGCACATGAAAATTTGCTAATTTGTAAGAAATAAGAATAGTGTCTTTTAATTGTTCAATTATTCATGATACATACAAACAAGAAACCACAAAAGAAAGCGTGAACATCGACACTATCTTTTGTAACATATATGCCCCCTTGCTTGCGTCTCATGCACCCGTGTGCAGCCATGCACATTTCTAGTATTGTTGGCAGTAGTTTGTATTTTAGTTCCTGTAAGAAGGTGTTGCCAGAGAGCATGCCACCATAATGGTCTCCTCTACATTATATTGTAGTTGATAGACCCTTGTACACCCTCACTGCCCAATCACTGTCCGCCTTCACTGTCCACCAATCCTTACTGCCAGTCCTCACTGTCAATCCTTACTGCCTATTCTCTCTACCTGTCCTCATTGCCCACCTTCATTACCTGAGTTCTCTTCATATCTTCCCTCACTATCTCTGCTGCTCTCCCTTACTTTTTCATTGCCACCTCCATTTGATGAGTGTGAACAGTGTTTCAATAAAATCATTAGGAAAGAATTGAGAAGAAACACCCCAAGAGGAAACAAATCAAGATTTGTAATATAAGATTTGTTTATACAATGAGACATTGTCGATTTTATCTATAATATAAAAATGAATCGCAAAATGTGTTGGTAAGCGCATAACTCAACAACGCCTGGA